AGGACTACTTCAATATTTATGAGACAAAGTTTTCTTTCCTTTCAAAATAATGTATAGTAATGTAGAGACCATTTATTGGAACCATGCAAGTTCTAAAATATGAGCTATTAGATAAGCAATTTTTTTAAAATTATGTGTTGATAATGGCTGACAAATAAACATTTTACAATTTAACATGATTAGTTTTCGTATTGCATTTTTATTGCTTCTTAGAATTTGCTATTCCCAATATAGTTCCTGTTTACCATCAGTTGCATTATTCATTGAATGCACTGCTTAGCAGTTATAAAGGGCGTCACAAACGCTCTTCACAAAAGAAAACTACTAATGATCGAAATCATTCTACGTCGATTTGACGTAACTCACCTTATTCAAAAAGGTAGCTAGACCTCTTAAAAAATAGTGCCTTAAAATAGGTTTAATTCAAATATCTATAAAAGTTGTCCTTTACGTTTAGTATTCTGTTTATATTTTAATGAATATCTTTCAGATGAAGATAGTAAACCATTTGAAGATTTCGATGTTAAATTTCTCTAGTGATTCTGATAGTTCTTTAGACAATTAACCGATTAAAAAAAATAAAATTAATAAATCAACCAAGTACTTCGCACATCAGGAAATATATCTGATAGTGTAATCGAAACAATCAATTATGTTATTACTGACGTGGCATTGAAATTGATGGTGAGTGAAATAAATGCAGATCAGCTAAAAAGTACTGTAAAATTACCCCATGCCAGAATTAGGGTATCCCAAACATATAATTAATCTGAAATTGCAAAAGGTACGAACAGTTGCAGCTAAAAGTAATACAGGAATGGTGATTCAAAAATGAAAGAGAAACGCGATGTTTATACTCTAAGTACAAAACACGCTGCCTAGCTCACAGAAGACAGCCAAAAACCAAAAGTTGTTTATTGTAGTCAATAAACATGTCTGACCAGATGAAAACATACAACCACCTCATTGAAAAAGGGAGAAAAGTGGTGTAGAAAGTTAGCAATTGAACTGATTGTGGGTACTACATTAGTAAATTCCTATATTTTACACGAAGAAGTATAAAATGAGAAAATGACTATAACAAAATTCAAAGAGAGCCTAGTAGTAAGCCTAGTAAAGTCCATTCAACAAAACCCTAATCACCCCAACAACAGTCATTTGTTGAAAAACGTAGGTTCCAGTAATCGTCGAAGGTGTGTTTATCATCATCTTTGGCTCGACAATCCTCTGTGGATCTTGGCCTGCTCTAAGATTCATCGCCATTCTATTCGGTTTCTGGCAATATATTGCCATCTTTTGATTGTTAATATCCGTAAGTCGGTTTCAACTCCATCTAACCACCTAATTCGCGGTCGGCCTTTGCTTCTTCTTTCTACAGGTGTTCCTGTGGTTAGCTTTTTAGCAATCGTATTTTCTGGCATTCGTATTATGTTTCCAGCCCATCTAAGTCACTGTGTTTTAATGAACGTTATGACATCTGGCTCATCAAAGAGCTGATACAATTTAAAATTATATCTTCTGCGTCACTGCCCTTGATAACTCCAAATATTTTACGGAGTATTTTACGCTCAAATATTCCCAAAAGTCTTTCATCTTTCTGCGTTAGAGTCCATGTTTCTGCTCCATATGTGAGGACCGACCTCAGCAATGTTTTGTATATAATAATTTTAGTTCTTCTTTGAATGTTTCTTAAGTGGAAATGCTTTCTGAGTCCATAGTATGTCCTATTGGTAAGATTTATTCGTCTTTTGATTTTTTCGCTTGTTTTATTGGTAGCAGTCAATAGCGACCCAAGTTAGGTGAAGTTGTCAACACGTCCAAAGGTATGACTTTCAAAGACTGTTTCTTGTTCCTTATTTGCTATCAGATCCTTTGTAACCAACATGTACTTGGTTTTGTCTTCGTTGATGACTAGACCAACCTGTTTCGTCGCTGTTTCCAATTCTAGGAGATATTGCTCAACATCTACGCCCTATTATGTCAATGCCATCAGCATATGCTAAGACTTGTATCGATTTATTGTAAATAGTACCGCCATCCCTAATTCGGGTATCTCGGACTGCCTTCTCTAAGGCAATATTAAATAGGAGGCAAGCCAGAGCATCCCCTTGTCTGAGTCCATCCTTTATCTTAAAGGATCTAGAATTCCCTCCCTATATTCTAGAAGGTGTGTGGTTTGTTGCTAAACTAGACGGAAAAAAGATATCTTTATACGCAATGTAATAAGCATTATTGTTTTTTGAAATCCACAAATGTACAAAATAAAGTTTTTGTTAATTGCTTAATAAAATAACAATGTATGAAAGTGATAGTTTTCGTTAAAAAATAAGTAAATAATGTTGACTTCAGCATACAGTTTTTATCAGTAACCTACTTTTCAGTCTGTTCAAAGACCAATTGCCTACAGCCGTATACTTTTAGGTTGCATTAACGATACATTAAAAAAACCTGTAAAGAATCGAAAGTGTGGAAAACACTCATGAACATGAAAACATTTTTTATAAGATCAGACCTAGTCTAGAGCTTAGAATTTAGATGATCACATGTTACGTGTTCTCTCTTTTGCTGTATGGCTGTGTGAAAGTTAGACAATGGACTCTGAAAAAGAAAACAGAATAGATGCCTTTGAAATGTATATATATACAGATGGATGCTGAAAATTTCATGGATACAAAAAGTTACCAATGGATACTAGGGTTATAGGTTAAGAGATGAAAGATATGAATTACTCTAAATCATATTAGAAGGTAAAGTGCAGGGCAAAAGATCAGTTGAAATACGCCAGAACACCTCTTTGTTAGCAATCCTGCAACTAGTTAGATTTTGTAAGTGGGCGAATAAAATTAAAAAAAAAAAAATTAAAAAAAAAAATAGTGCATATAAAAAAACAAACAAAAATAAAAACAAAAACAAAGCAACAAAAAAAAATAATAATGAAAATAAAAATATATATATTTAAAAAAAAAAAAAAAAAAAAAAAAAAATAAACACAAATTACACTGCTCACACTTAACTTTAAGCACTACTAATACTTTAAGCATTGTGAATGTTATTGTGAAGAAGGATGAGTTCTCTTTTTAAGTTTTCTTTTTTAAATTATTATAGTTAAAAAAAATCGTCTGGCTAATTGGTCTTTACCAAAGCCATCTAATTAAGTAAAAAAAAAAAAATACGCCAGAACTGGTGGTTGAAAGATCTGAGGAGATGGTTTGACCGCTTACCCACAGAAATATTTCATTCTGTAGTTTCTAAAGTTACAATTGCCATTGGGATCACCAACCCTCGAAAGGAGATGGCGCGATTAGAAGAAGAAGAACGAAACATTGGGGCTACAACTGCCAATATTAACCCATCAAAGTCATATTACCCGTATATCACGTTAGGCTTCTTATGGCAGTGAAAATTTAACTGGTAGTATTTTCTTTAATTTGAGCTATTACAAAGTTACTAGCGGACCAACTCGACATCGAGTTTTGATGTAAGTTTTGCTGATATTTAAGAGGGGCGGAGTCTAACGATCCATCATTTCCATCGCCTGGTGTAAATGTTCCAAAAATCCTAAAAATAAACTGTATCGACGCCAATTTTTTTAAATTGAAAATCGCTACAGTAGTTTTTTAGGATTTTCAGGAAGATTTACATTAGAAAACGGAAACAATATAATTGTTAGACTCCGCCCCTCTTAAATAAAAAACGGAAGTAAAACCGGAAGTAACTTTTTTTTTGCATATTTTAGATTGTAAAATGCCACGTTTAAGAAAAAGAACTCGCGGCCCCGTCCATATACTCTGGAACACCGTGAAAGAAACCATAGTTTTCAAAACTAAATCCGGAAGTAGCGAAGTAAATACTTCCGGTTTCATAATTTCGAATTCAATCAGTAAGTATAAGAAAAAAGTAGACGCGGTCATATTTTAAAAATACATTGAAAATTAGGACTATAAATTTTGAAGAATGAAACCTGTAAAATTTCTATACTTTACTATAGGAAAAATTCATTTTATGGCCGCCATTTTTAAACCGGTTCGAATTTTTGAAATTTGAAACCTTAGGGGGAATCTACTCAATAATCTGTTTAATTGTTCGAAAAAATTGTTTTCCTATCTATCACCGTTTAAAAGGAGTATTGCGCACAAGAAAAGGGCTTAGTCTTTTAGTATATAAGATTTAACTTAAAATACAGCCCAGTAACAAGTGAAAAATCGCCTAAATGCAATTTTCTAATGGTTTGGGACTAATTTTGCAATATCTCCGGTTCTGGTTATTGGATCAAGGTTTACCAAACATCAATTTTGTTTTTTAAGGACCAAATTGAATTCTGTGAACATGATTTGTATTTGTTACTTTACGAATTATATTCATTTAAGCAATTAAATTGTTTTAAACAAATTTTTCTCACTTTCAACGCAAAAGCATCCGTTTGAAATTCGCATTTAGTGGGTTAAAATACATAAGAATACACTCTAAAACTCCGTGGACTTTAATCCACGATGTGTTTCTGACGAAACAGCCCTGGCTTCTGGACTAATGTAGAATATTTGATTTAAATGTTAGGGCGCTATCTGTAAAGAGGTTCAGCTTCCTTACGAAGCAATTTTTGATGAGGTGATTTACATAAAATCAACATAAAATAAGTTCAAGAATTTGCGATTTTCTTTTGTGAAAAGCATTCGTGGACAACCTGCATATAGAAACCTATAAATTTATTTTGTACAATTCGGAGCAAATCGTTTTAAAAGATTGTTTGTATAGATTTCTTTATCGAAGATATTTACGTCTATTACGACGATTACTTAAAAATTATCTAACAATTTTTGAAAGTCAAATGAAATTATATCCAAAAACTTTAATCTGCACTCAATTTGATTGAATAAAGTGTAAGCTGCAGTCTGAAATGCAACTAGCGTTCCTATTAAAATTAGCTGACGGCATACCTCTTATACAAAATTTTTTAACTTACTACTTAAGAAAATACATCAATATTTTAGTAATATATATAACTAAAGTCGGTGGTTCTCTCTTTCCATAGCTTTGGTGTTTCTCACTAACGACGTAATTGTGGGAATATGTACGTCGTCCCCCGTGAATACCACGTTGTCGTGTCCAGTTAAATTCTTTGGTGGACTGAGTTCCGGTTTCTTTGGTCCTTCCATAAGGAACGTCGTGAGAAGGAACAAAATTGAACCTAAAAAATTTATATTTATCAAAAAACTATGGTTAAAAAATAAAAATTCGAAAAAAAACTAAATAAATATAAATCCGTTCCTATTAACTTCGCCAATAACACGAGTCAGTACGTTCCTTCAGTACGAGTCAGTCAGTCGAAATAAAATAGTCCCAGCTTAACACCCTCCACGTAAGGTTTCTGCCAAGGGAATACATGAAAATAAGTAATAAAAAATTGTTTATCTATTATATTTATCAATTATAGGTTAATCATATGCAAACATTTCCTTAAGTTTATTGGAAGTTATGGAACACACCTCTGATTGTGCCACTGAATTCAATGCCCAGTTAATTAAATGATTCTAACACAAAACACTTGGTAACTATGATAAATACTTTTTGATTTTTTAGAGAGCCTTGGGGGTGAAGTGGGGTAGTGATGTGCAAAATATGAAGCTGCATACTGTTAGCTTTTCAAAATCTCACGTGGTGAACTCCGCTAACCTGGGCAACCCTACTGAAGATTCTGATATTCAACTCCAGTGAATAGCAGGATCAGTGTAAACAAGAGCGGAAAAATGGTCTTCCGAAGACTAGGGTGTTTGGCAAAAGGTTAGCGAACTCTTCGCTAAAAGAAAAACTGTATTGTTTTGACAGCAAAAAGAGGAAAAGCTAGACTATTAAATTTACGATGTTAAATTTACGACGCCCAAGAAAACAACAAAAAAATAACGACGCCACAGACGCTCTTTTATTGCTGACACAAGAACTGGTAGAATATGTGAGACGGACTGGAAAGGAGACGGAAAGGAAGATAATGAAAAAGATAGATTTTGTGACATCTTGAATAAAGAATATATTCTATGCCCAAGTTATTACATAAACATAATCTATGGAGACCTTAATGCAAAACAGCAATTTTTCCAGCCAACCATAGGACTTAAAAGCTTAAATGAAGAGTCAAACGGTAACGAGACTAATAAATTTTGTAAGTACCAAAAACATGATAATTTGAGCAACCATAAGGCAGAATTAATTTGGGTAATTTGAGACTGAAATCGTTGCGAGAGAGTATAGGCAACAAATGGATAAAGGAATGGAAAGCCTGGAGGCGATGGAAAATATGGCGAAATTGTGGACAAAATGTATAAATATATTAATTGAGAAGGCAACAGGAATATTGGGGAAAACCAAACCAGTTAAAAAAAGAATGGTTGATAAAGAGTGCCAAAAGGTAACATGTTGTGAAAATAGAGCATACCTTAAGACATATCAAGCAGGATGCACAAGCTGAGCAACGGAGGAATACCGGCCGCCTTTAAGAAGAGATAAAAAGAGGCAATTTGATTTACACTATTTGTTTTTTAATTCGCCCTGCTACCTAATTGTCTGTTTTATTATGTATTTTCTTCCATATATATTTTTAATTTCTCTATTTGATCATCCTGAAAATCCTATCTACCCTTGATCTCTCCATAAATTATCATTAATAGTTTCTTGTCTCATAATTATTCTTATAATTCATAGCAGTATATTAATGGTGGATATATTATTATGGTATAGATTTGTAGTTTATTTGTATATGGATTCACCATATACATTGAATGGTAATGGAGAACTAATCCATCCCTGCCTAACTCCTCCCCTGGTTTCAATTTCTGAACTGAGTTTGTTATCTATTACAACTTGGGCTCTTTGATTCCAGTAAAGGTTTTTGTTATTATTCTTAAGTCCCTTTTGTCTATGATTTTTGTTTTTAGAATGCACATCTACTTCATATCCATGCAACTTTAAGCTATCACATTAAAAGCAAGTAACGCCTCTGGTTCCTAGTTCGTTTTTGAATCCAAACTGACCATCATATATATTTTGTTTTAGAAGAATGTATATAAAGTAAACCAAATATTGTGGCGTTGAAGCACAAAGTCAAACTTTCCACGTATGAATCGGAATCAATAGAACTATATAACTGTTTTTTTTTTGGTATCTGTACCTAGTCAGTCGTTCGAGCTAATTCAGTTTCAAATCCAACTAATGTCCCTAAAACCTTCCCCTATCTTTGGTTTGCGCCCAAAGGTGCTATCCACTTCGACGGCGAGGTAATAAAATAATTCAGTAAAATAGTTCCGTGTATCGTAGGGCTATCGAAATGTTTAAAAGATAGCCCAGAGAAGTAGAGAACTATTTTACTAAATCGTTCGTACCACGCCTTTGTGCGCGAACCACTGAAAGTGGAAGATGTTGGAGATATTAGTTGGACTTATCGTTTTGAATCTGAATCAGCTAGAACGAGTAACGAGGTAGAGATACAGAAATAATAGTTATATAGTTCTATTGATTCCGATTCAGATAAAATTTATGCTCCAATGCCATAATATTTGGGTCGGATAAATTTCCGGGGCAGGTAAATAAAAATTACTAAATTCTTAGGAAGAACCGCGTTGAGAATTAAAAACTTGACGTTCATTATCAAAAGGGGTGTGGTTCCGTTAGAGTTCGGGATCTTAATCTGCCTACTCCCCCAATCGTGACGTACCATTATCTTCTCCAGACGTATGAGAACCGTCAAATGGCACTGAGGTCTCAATATGCCTACTCCTTAGTGTAAAGTGAAGACCGGTCTTACTCTTTGTAGCTGCTTTTATACCCTTCGTATGCACGAGAACGGTCTTAGCGCGATCGGTTGGCCCGGGGAGTCGCTATAGCAGCGATCGCCATGCTGCCTGCAGTCTTTGAGCATCATCGTGCATGTTGAAGCTGTTGGCGCGTTTTTCAATTTCGATGATTTTACGAATAATTCTCGATTTTATGGAGCAGATATTAGCGAAGGCTTTAGGTCTGAATTAATGTCGGAATGTTTTACAGATATAAAGTTTTCGTAAATACGGTTGTGGACAGTGTAATGTCTGGTGGCTTAGGAGACTTAGAGCTCGAAAGCACTGAAGAAGACATCAGAGAGGATGTGGAAAGCTTAGCACAGTGAAAATCGACGCTGTTTTTGATGTATTTTGGTTAATCCGCATTATGTTTTTTTACATCGCTATTTTGTAACTCTAAACACATTATCTTTGTTACCTCGAATGCATTTCTAGCTTTTATTTTGATATTCAGATACTCTGTTACAAATTTGCTTAGAGCTTGTTACAGTTTTTCTTATTTGCTCGTGTTTACATCGATTTTCTTCCATGAATTCCATAAAATATTCTATATTATTTAATTTTTTTGTCATTACCGTAAGTTTTCATGTTTTCTTTGTCACTTTTCATGCTCTTCTTTAAGTATTGTTAGATTAGATGAGAATAAATTAAGAGAGGTGGCCTTTCGGCCTATTCCACTGCGACGTTTTTAGATCTATTGTGGTCCTCTAGTCCTAGATAACATTCTCTAGTCTGACTTTTTTTATAAAGTCTAGTAGCTTCGATATTCTACCTTCCATGTAGATATTTGCCGGTGGATTTTCTTCTCCTAATGCAAAGAACTGCACATCTGCTAGACTGTCATACTGAGAGAAGTTACTTATTGACTAATACTTAGTATTCTTATTTTCTGTCTATTTTTTTCTTAGTAATCAATTTTTTTTTTAAATTTCGACTTTTATATCTTTTATCAAACTAAAAATTATTGTGTAATTTATCTTTAGGACTTTTGTTTCGTTTGCCCCCTATTTTACACTTTCACAAAAGGATAGTCGTCTTTGTCATCGGTTTCATCTCTTCCTATTTTTTGTGCTTATCGGTGCTACACATTCTACAACGTCCCGAACATAATAAGCCATTAAAAAACCGGTCATGAAAGCCTAAACTCTATGTTTCTGATGATGTATTTGTAATACCACAGAGTACACCAACCCAACTGGGTTGGTGTTTTCTGTGGCAATACTGATATCATATTCGGAAAGAACGACAAGAATTTTTCTGCTTAGAAAAACGATAAATGTGAGATAAGGATAAGTATTTTTAAGATAAATTGATAGTACTATTATTGTTATTGATTCTGGTCTTGTTTTGTAGTATTATTGTTGACTTAATCATTTATATTTTGTAGGTTGAGAAGATATTGGATACTTACTGAAGGCGTAGGCTCCAACGTAGAACACGAACAGACTCTCCCTATATCCTATAGATTTAGAAACAGGTTCAACGGCAATAGGAAGATTTCCTCCAATATTATTCATAACAAAAAGAAATACTCCGATAGTTGTTGATCTTACATGCAATGGAACAATCTCTACGACCATGGCAAAAAGGATTCCAAACCACATTTCAGCTGAAAATTATTTATTATTAAAATAAATTTAATTGTTTCAAGTATAATTTACTTACCGAAAAAGTAGGAAATGCCTAGAGTAATCATAGCTCCCACCGGACTACAGTAGACACTACCAAAGGCAAAAGGTGTAGCTACGATTTGACTAACTGCCAAAACTACGCATCTTGAACGGATGCCCATTTTAGCGACAATTTTGTCCGATACTACTCCACCAACTACGACACCAATGGAACCTATTACAATTGTTACAGCAAACAACCACCAACCTAAAAAGAAACAAGACTAACTTCACAAAAAATTATTCACTGTGTATAATTTGATAATACTAATCTCAATACATAACTAATAAGCTTAAATTATGAAAGTTCCCAAAGGTACGCTGGATACCATAGTAGTTAAAGACCTTTACACTGAAGTTAAAACTTCTGTTGTAATTGGGTATTCTTCTTTGTGATGTGCCTATCCGTTACGAATGTTGGCGATCATCATGGCAATCTTTATCTTCTCTGCAGCGGCGCGGAAAAGCTGCACAGATGTTGTATTGAACCAGATTCTGATATTCTTTAACCAATATGTTCTTCTTCTTCCTGGATCTCGTTTTCCAAATATTTTTCGTTGCAGGATGGCTTCATAAATCAGCCAATCGGGTCCACTGCTGGACATAGGCCTCCCTCAGTTCTTTCCAGTGTTCTCTACACTGGGCCGCTTGTAGCCAGTTTCCCGCTACACTTTTTATATCATCGGTTCATCTAGTCGGTGGTCGTCCTCGGCTTCTTTTGTAGTTTCTGGGCCTCCATTCCATAATACGTCTTGTACACCGTCCATCTTGTGCTCTGGCTAAGTGCCCTGCCCAGTTCCACTTAAGCGACGTGGTTCTTTCGATGACGTCTTGAACTCCTGATCTTTGCTTGATTTGTTGGTTTGTAATGTGGTCTCGAAGGCTCACGTTCAGCATTGCACGTTTCATGGCTCGTTGTGTAACTCTGAGTTTATTCGCAGATTTTTGCATGAGTGTTAAGGTCTCCGCTCCATAATTTTGTACAGGTAAAACACATTGGTCATAAACCTTTCGCTTGAGACACATGGGAATTGAACTTTTTAGAATATGGCTTAATTTGCCAAATGCTGCCCAAGTTAGGCCTATTGGCCTCTGTATTTCATGTGTTTGATTGTCTCTGCTTATTTTGATTTCGTGTCCCAGATATTTGTAAGTGTCTGTTCGTTATATGGTATTATTGTCAATAGTTATATTTCCACTCATTGCGAGATTTTGTTATAAGTTATTATAAGTTTAGTTTTCTCAAAGTTTATCTTTAATCCTGCTCTTTCAGACAGACTTTTAAGCGAATGCATCATAGAAATTTCTATGATGCAGGATGGTTGAAGCAGAGCATATCTGGATTCATTTCGCACAATATGTCCGAAGAATTGTAACTTTTACAATATGATGGTGATCCGGTACCTCTCGGTTTGAATTCATTTCTCTAAGGACCTTCTCATTTGTGACACGGTCAGTTCACGGGATCTTAAGTATTCTCCGCTATAGCAACATTTCAACATTTCAACATTTCAAATGCTTTCAGTTTTCTGTACATATCATCGCTGAGGGTACACGATTCAACACCACAAAAAAGAACAGCGAAGACGTAGCATCGCAGCATTCTTACTTCTGTATCAAGAGAGAGATTGTGACTCTTAAAGAAGGCCCCATCCGATTGAAGGGGGATAAGCAGTAGAGTTAACCTTCTGTTATCCTTTTCTTGCTAATTTTCATAAGCTTTGTCTTCTTAACGTTTATATTAAGTCCATATTGTTGATTGTAATATGTAATTTTGTTCATAAGAACTTGTAGGTCTTATGAACAAATACTTGTTCATAAGACCGCAATGTCTTGTCCGCAAATACTTTGGTATCATCTGCATATCTGATGTTGTTTAGCCGGTAACCATTTAGTAGAATACCTTTTTTCAGTTTCGTATAAAGCTTTGATAAATATTCTTTCAAAGTACAGATTGAAGATTAGAGGAGCCAAAATATAGCCTTGTCTCACTACACGCATGATATAGTGAGTGTATTCACCTCAAACTCTGAGATTTGCTGTCTGATTGTAGTAAAGATTTTTAATTATTTTCAGATATTGGTTGTTAATTCCTGCTTCTTTTATTATTTACATCATCTTGGCGTGCTGTACTTGATCAAACGCTTTTTCGTAATCAACTAGACATACGTATACGTCGCGGTTGACGTCTCTCCATCTGAAATAAGACTTGTACTGAGAACAAAGCCTCCCTAGTACCAACAGCATTTATGAATCCAAAATGGATGGGGGAAATTTGACTTTTAGACAGCTTGTAGAATTTTTTAGAATTATCTTTAGGAACAATTTTAGGAGATGACTCATGAGGCTTATATTACGCATTTTTTTGCTATTAGTTTTTTTGGAAATGCAATAAACTTAGATTTCAGCCATTCTGTTGGTATTTCTCCAGATTTGTATATGTTGCTGAATATCTTTGTGATTATTGCTATTAATTCGTTGTCTATTAGTTTGAGTAGTTCTGCATGTATATGATTAGGGCCTGCCGCTTTGCCATCCTTTAACTGTGTTATTGTGCAATAAACTTCCTGCTGTAATATGTTTGGCCCATTATTTACTTGTTTTTTTAGCTCAAAGGTGCTATCTCGTTGGTCTTCAAATAGTTTTTCTAGATATTCTTTCCACGCTCGTATTTTACTCTGTTTGTCCAAGATGAGATTTCCGTCAGTATCAGTTATATTTCCTTTCTGTGAGTTCCGTAACTTTCCTCTGTACATTGTGGATATCGTACATTGACTGCAGAGTCACAATTTTTACGCATCTTTCCTTTGCTTCTTTTTCTTTCGCTTGTCTGACTAAATATATTTAATTAAATTTAAATCAAAAGTCCAAATGGATTACAATTATTGAATTTGTTGAGAACGAACGTTTTCGGTCTTAATAAATCACCGTAGTGAACTTTGAAGTACTTGCTATTATAACCTTATCACCAAGCATTCTTCTTCTTCATGTACCATGTCCTTTCAAAACGTTGGTTACCATCATAGCTATTTTAATTTTATTCACTGCCACCCTAAACAGCATGCTTGTATCTACACCATACCAATCTCGCAAGTTCTTCAACCATGAGGTTCTTCTTCGTCCTGGAATGCGTTTGCCTGCTATTTTTCCTTGCATGATATTTTGTAGCAATCTATATTTGGGACCTCTCATTACATGTCCGAAATATTCCAGCTTTCTCTGCTCGATGCTTTTTATGATCTCAGTAGTCTTGCTGAGACGTTCTAGTACTGTGGAGTTACGAATCTTCTCCACCCAGGAAACTTTTAAAATTCTTCTATAGCACCACATTTCGAAAGCCTCAAGGCGATTTAGATCAATTTTATTCACAGTCCAGGACTCGACAGCATAAAGTAAGACCGAGAACACGTAGCAGCGAAGTAGGCGGATCCTTAATGCCAATTTTAGGTCTCTGTTACATAACACCTTAGACATCCTTCTAAAAGCAGCTCTAGCCTGCTCTATTCTGGATCTAATTTCGCCGTGATTTTCTGCATTACAATTTAATTGCTGTCCAAGGTAGACGATTTTATCAACTTGCTCAAGTTTGGTATTATTTACATATATAGACGGTTTTATATTCTGTTGTTTACTTATTACGAGTATTTTGGTTTTCCTTATGTTAAGATCCAGACCCGCCTCCCTACAACTCTCAACGACACTATCAAGTAGTGTTTGCAGATCTTCTTGGCTAGAAGCTAGGAGTACTGTATCGTCCGCATATCGCAAATTATTGATGACTTCGCCGTTCACAAGTATTCCTTCTTGTTTTTCAGAAAGTGCTTTTCTGAGAATTCTTTCGGAGTAAACGTTAAAAATCAGGGGTGACAAGAGGCATCCCTGCCGTACTCCTCTTTTAATATTGAGAGCTTGTGATTTCACACCATCTACTAAAACTGATGTTGTTTGATTCCAATATAAATTTGCAATTATTCGAACATCTCTGCCGTCCAAGCCAATGTCTTTTAGAGCTTTGATCAATATAGATTGCTTAACACGATCAAATGCCTTTTGAAAGTCAATAAAACAACAGTATATATCTACAGATATATCACGACATCTTTGAGCAAGTACGTTCATTCCAAACAGTGCCTCTCTCGTTCCAAATCCGTTACGGAAACCAAACTGAGTGTCATCCAGGTATTCCTCACATTTATTGTAGATACGACCATGTATTACCTTCAGAAAAATTTTCAATAAGTGGTTTAACAAACTGATGGTTCTATATTCAGCACAGGTTTTTGCTGTTGTCTTCTTAGGTAGAGCTATAAACAGTGAGTTAGACCAACCATTAGGTAGTTGGCCGCTGGTATAAATGGTATTGAAAAACGAAGTTATAGCCTCTAAAACATTGCTATCCTTTATAAGCTTATATATTTCAGTTGGAATTTCATCAGAACCAGTCGCTCTGCCATCTTTTGATGATTGTATGGCCTTTATAACCTCACAGCGTGTTATTAGGGGTCCGTCGCAGTTAGTACTATCCGGAGGTAAACTACTCCTATCGTCTTCGAATAGGTTCGTGACGTAATTTTCCCATTCTTTAAGTTTGTCCTCTACTTCGAATATTACTTTACCATTTTCTTCCTGTAGCAATGCATTTTGTTTCTTATTGAAGATACCAGCCGCTTCTTTTACTTTTTTATACATGTTAAACGTGTCGTATCTTTTTTCGAGTTCTTCAATGTCATGAAACTGTTTGGCTAGATGTTGACTTATTGCTTCTCGTATTTTACGTCCAATTTCTTTTTGTATGCTATTGTAAAGTGTTTTGTTGGTTTTTGCTAGTCGCCGTTGTTCCATCAAATCCAGTATATCATCTGTCATCCAAGCCTGCTTTTTTGACTTTGACCTGCCTTGTAAATTTCTCACACAGATTTCTTTTACTGTCGTTACGATTTTATTTAAGCCCTCATCGACGTTTTCACCAATATTTTCCCAAATTAAATTTTCGTTCAGTTGTCTTTGAACTGATTCCTTAACTTTCTCGTCTTGTAGTTGGGCTGTATCAATCTTTTTGCGAGACTTCTTTTTGATCACCTTTTTTAATTTTAATTGGGTTACAGCTACTATGGGATTGTGATCGGACCCAATGTCAGCACCTGGATAAGTTTTAACTGATTTGATGCAGTTTCTAAATCGATTTGATTCCTAATAATTTTGTCCTCTGATTCTGCATTTGACTTCCAGGTGTAGAGTCTTCTCGGTGGTACTTTAAAATGGGTATTCGACATAATGAAATCGTGTTCTTGACAGAACTGGACAAGTCGATCTCCACGTTCGTTTCTGTTTCCCAAGCTATATTCCCCCTCAATGTTCAAACATCGTCCTTTAACGACTTTAGCGTTAAAATCTCCGAGGACTATGGTATTTTCTGCTGCTTTGAAAAGATCTAGAGCATCAGTAAGATCTTTGTAGAGTGCTTCTAATTTATCTTCATCACTAGATGTTGTTGCCACCAAGCATTGAGTGGGTTTAATTTGAATATTACATACTTAAAAGTATGGAATTAAACGACATAATGTCGATAATTACAGATTTACCTTTTTGGGAACAATATGCCCCTACTTAAAATTAAACCCACATGAGTATCATTTGCTAAGTGTATATAATTCATCATTGACTTGATCAAACATCCCATCGGGAGAAAATTACAAAAGTTAAGTACAAAGTAAAAAAAATTACAATTTTTGACGTTAAAATTTCATAACATTAATAAATAAAACTAATATTGTTGTTTTTACTTGGTACGGATGGTAACATTTTATATCCACTCTATTCTTCTTCATGGTGCCGAAGATTGGACAGCTAATGTTGACTTAATGAGAAAGCTGGAAGCTTTCGAGATGTAGCTTTTTAGGAGAGTTTTGAAAGTACTAATACGAACGAAATGGTGTTGCACAGAATGAGTAGAGACAGATAAATTTTGAATACCATTAAACTAAGAAAGATAGCGTGTTTAAATCGCATATTTACAAATGATAAATACGAGTTGTTGCAGCTAATTATAAAGGGTCAAATTAAAGGAAAACGGGTTCTTGGTACATGTCAAATAGCGTGGCTAAAAAACATTTACGACTGTACGGGGTTAAACACACAGACGCTTATAAGAAAAGCCGAGGATGGAGACAAATTTGCAATGGTTATAGCCCACCTTCATTAGTGAAGTCATCACTTGAAAAAGAATAAGAAGTTAATTGGTAAAAAATTCTTCTACTTAAAGTAAAAAAAAACAAAATTTGTTTAATTTATTAATGTTTCGTATTTTAAGAACGACGTCCGCAGTGGAAATATAAATGTCAAAATAAACTTATTCTTCTTCTTCTTCTTCGTGCGACTAGGATTACTCCTGTTTGTCTGCCTCTTATTCTGTTTCAGTCGTTGTTGACTGTACATTATCTTTCCACCTTTTTGGCGGCCTTCCAACGGGTCTTCTGCTACACGGTTTGTTGTTTTTACAGATGTTCGCTAATCTATCTGGTCCCATTCGGTTTACATGTTCTTTCCAGTTTTTTTTTGTTTTTATCCACCTCTTAATATTTTGAATTTTGCATTGTTATGATATACTTCTGTTGATTTGTCTCTCTCTTAATGAAATACCCGCTATTGATATTAATACTTTCATTTCGATATTGTTGATTTGTTGTTTCGTCTTTCTTGTATCGGTCCTTGTCTCCGCTGCATATGTTAGGATTGGTCTTACTGTTGTCTTGTATACTTTCATTTTGCTTTCCGTGATCAGACATTTGTTTCTTCATATGGTTTATCGGAGACAACCACTTACTCTTGCCGCTTTTGATGCTTGCCTTGTGGTCTCTGTTCTTATATCCCTGTTACTAGTGACCTCTACTCCTAGGTAATTGAATTTCATTACTTGTACTACAATTTTGCAGTCTATTTCTAGTTTGCATCTACCCAGCTCTTTATTGATCACTATACATTTAGTTTTTTCTACTGATATTCTCATATTAAGTTTGTTTGCTGTAATATTGAAGGTGTGAAGCTGCCTTTGTAGGTCATCTTCGTTATCAGAAATTAGTACTGCATCATCGGCATATCATAGTATCGTGAATAAATTTAGTTTAAAGTAAAATTGTGGCTCTTTCAGATACATTGTGATATAAAGAAAGCTTTGGAATAAAAAAGTTAAAGAATGAATGGATACAGATTCCAAAGCCAACAATAAGCCAATTACTTTAAAATTGTCTAAGTAATGATAAAATAAGTAAAACTTAACAATAATGAATATTTACCCAAGTCATAATCTGGAAAATAAGTTTGATAATAAAGATCGCAATTGTATGCAAAACACATTCCTCCACAATGTCTAATAGAAGCTGCTAGACATAACAATATAACTCTTGGATCTGCAATAACATCCCAGATTGTTATTTTTTTGGCATCTCCATTTTGATTTGCATCTTCCCCAATAGACGTACGTGCGGGTTCTTTCAATGTAAACCAAGTCAGTACAGCCAAAATTAACGCTACTATTCCAGCACCGTAGTAGGTTACTCTCCATCCTAACCCCCAAGTGTTCATTGGTGGAACGTATCGTCCAACAGGAAAAGCGATGCCTAAAAAATGTTTTCAATGAGATAAATTAAAACAAATATATTCTAAATAGCTTACCGTATCCTCCGTAAATACCCCAATTAAAAACAGACATGACTAAAGCTCTTTTTTCTTCAGTGAATATATCAGAAAGTATACCAGTAGCTAAAGGATTACATCCTGATTCTCCGGCCGCCATAACCATACGAAGAAGAACTAGTTGCCAAAACTCCTTTACGCTTCCGCTGAGTATAATGGCAATACCAAAGACCACAGTGCAAACTGCTAATAGTCTTACCCTAAAACAGGCAATTGGTAATTTTAGCTATACCGTATTCTGTAAAAAACAGTTAATAAATATTTTTACATTAAATTTACATAATACACAGAATAAGAAATATTCATATATTTATAGTTTAATAGTTATTAAATTGCCTTCTGGACTTTTGTAATCCGCTTTTGTACTGATGAACATTCAGTTTATGATTTTTTCATTATTATATTTAGGACAATTTAAAAAATATATTGTACGGCTATAATATTAGTATTATACAATGGTCACATACAAAATTATTCGCACGAACGCTGTGTGCGCAAAAATGCTCAGATCTGTACGTGTACCAACATAAAGTTAACGCGCACGAATACTATCCATCAGTAGTCGGTTTCTGGACATCAAAGAATATTTAGGCGTAAATTTGCTTAGTTTTTACGGCATTTGTGAACGTAGCGGTTGTGCCAGTATGCTGTACAGATCGTCATCATCATCTTGGTGCTACAGTCCTTAGAGGGCCTCGACCTTCTCAAGCTTTCTACACCACTCTGTTCTGTCCCTTGCTTGCATTTTCCAGTTGCCAACTCCGATCTTCTGCGCATCTTGTGTTACCCCATCCATCCACCTCAGCTTTGGTCTACTCCATCTTCTCATTTCCACGGGTTGCGCTGTTAGAATCTTTTTTATCATGTTTGATTCAGAGGCCCTGGCTACATGTCTTGCCTACTGCAGGCGGTTTCGCTTAATTATGGTGGTAATATCTTTACCACCAAACGTATGCTTGTAGATATTCTGCAGTTCAAAGTTATATCTACGCCTCCATATTCCGTTCTCACAGACCGCTCCGAATATCTTGCGAAGCACATTTCTTTCAAAAATGGATAGAGTGGATTCATCTGTTTCCGTTAGCATCCATGCCTCTGATCCATATGTGAGAACGGGGACTATCAGTGTTCTATACAGCCTTATACGAGTTTTTTGAGACAGACGTTTATTAGCTAAGTACTTTGATAGACCATGATAACATCTGTTTGCAATTATTATTCGCCTTTTTATTTCCTCAGATGTGTTAATATTTGGGTTAACCGATGTCCCTAGATATATGAACTCTTTGACTGCTTCGAAGTTTTGGTCATTGATAATTAAATTTGTGTCAACATTTCCAGCTCTTGTGTTTGTGTTAGTCGCCATGAATTTGGTTTTATTTTGATTTATATATAATCCCATTCGTTCTGCTGCTGCTACTAGCTCGGTTAGGATTTCCACAGTTCTCGCCTTAGTTCTTGTTATAATGTCCACGTCATCTGCAGATGCTAGAATTTGGACTGATCTATTAAATATTGTTCCCCTGCTATCTAAATTAGCGTCTCGTACAACTTTTTCTAAGGCGACATTAAAAAGCTGACACGCCAGCGCAACTCTCTGCCTTAACCCCCTTACAGATTGATTTAAGTTAAAAATTCTTTAATTCAATTTTTATTTAAAGAATTGATGGAGTAACGTACAGTGCTTTCAGTTAATTAACGAATGTGAAGAACATCCAATTTTATGGGAAGCCAAACATCCTCAGCATTTTTCATGAAATAAGAAATTCGATGCATGGCAAAGTATTGCAAATAATTTAAAAGTATACGAACATAAAGAAAAACGGAAAGTGAGTAGCCTGTTAGGATCCTTTTGAAGAGAAAAAGGTAAAGGAGTCAAAATAATTGGAATAGGAAAAGGCATGATTTCTCTAGTTCTTGTATATTCTTAATGGACGGTGTTTAAAATTTATGGTTAAATTTAAAAAAATCTCATGACGTATAATCACGATATATCGATATATCGTGGTAATACGTCATGAGATAGAACAAGTTCAGGAATATGTCTACCTAGACCAAATCCTGAAACTTGACAAAGAGAACCAAAGTGCGGAAATTACTAGAAGAGCAAGACAAGTATTTGGAAAACTTACTTGGATACTTAAGAACCGCAAAATACCCCAATACTTGAGGAGCAAAGTGTTCAACCACTGCATCTTTCCTATAATGACATATGGATGTCAAACCTGGACCCTAACCAAGACAAACATGAATAAACTAGCCACAACAGAAAGAACAATGGAAAGAGTAATGTTAGGTATACGACTGTCAGATAAAAAGAGGAACGACTGGGTAAAATCACAAACAAAAGTCGAGGACATAACATCAAAAATTGCCAAGCTTAAATGGAACTTCGCGGGCCACACTGCTAGACAAAAAGACCAACGTTAATATTCCACTATGCACCAATGCAATTAAATTTGATTGAGGTTATTTTAGGTGAGATAGGGGAATGTTAGTGGATAATAGGAACCACGTTATTATTATGGATTGGAGCGACTTAATATAACTGATGAACGTACCTTTTCTACGCTTAATTATGGCTCATAGGTGTAGCAGTTATTAAAAGCCGTTGACTGGAATTGGGAAATTATGTAATATTGTTTCAGCGATACATGCAATATTGGAGCCGTGCCGATAGTATAACTGGATTTTGTCAGATCCAAATTATTTTATCACTATAAGTTATTAAAAGTATGTTATTTCATTGCATCACATCTGATTCTCTGTTAAATTATGCTATTTTTCATTTTAAATATGTTAATACAAAAATGCACCTTCGAATAATAAGAGCCACTGTGGTCCCCGTTACCCTAATGTGGTCCCCATTACCTTGTGGGTTCATTTTCAAATTTATTTTAGATGCCCAGGACATGAAAAAAATCCGATAATGGTTAGTTGACATTAGAAGACCTCCAAAGAATGCCAGGTCAGTGGCCAATGGAATGTGTATTAGAAAAGGAACCCTTCAATGTACATAATACCCCTTACCAAACATTCCAGAAAAGATTAAAGAAGGACAACTTGCAATTTCCGGTATAATTAGGCAGATGTCCTTATTTTATAATCGAATAAGAAAAATAAATAGTTTCCCATCTAATTTAGCTTTTCAACATGTTTTTATGGCTTATCAAGGTGGTAGTTTTGTCTCCTTATATATAGATATGCAGATAATCTTAAGATAAAGCATCGTTTAATTATTCAGAAGCAGGTAGCTGGATAAGACTGGCTGAAAGATTTTTTGAAAGGTAATTCTACCACTAGCGTCCGTAAGTTCGAAGCCTAGAGTATGAATTATATGAAATGTTTTAATAAATTAGAAGTCACATGGTTCTTTAAAAAAATTGAAGTTGTTATGTCCAAATATAAATTTCAAAAGTCGATTATATATAATATAGACGAGACCGGTATAACAACGGTTTAAGAACTAGGAACTATTATAACAAAAAAGGACAAAAAAGTTCAGCAACTAGTTGAAAACCTGACAGAAACATTACGTCAATTTGCACCATGAGTGCTTTTGAATCGTATTTACCATCCTTTTTTTGTTCCCAAGGAAAAATTTTCACCATTACTCGCTCGCGGATGCTGCAGATCAGCTCACATTTAACAGCTGAATCAATGATGAGATGTTTCTGTTATGGCTAAAGTATTTTGTTAAATTCACAACATCGAGTCAATCCAGTCAGTTATACTAGTGCTAGATAATCATTTTAGTCACGCAACACTTAGCCTATAATTATTGAAGGAACAAGGAACGACTATATAACCATATACCTACTTTCACAAATGTTGCATTCATATATCATTCAGCGTGATTTATGCTCAAGAGTCATAGACAATTGTTATATTATATTGTTATATTCCATACATAATGGCATCAATAGGCGTTTAAAATAAATACCCTATAGTATCAGTGAGTATATTATATTTTGCGCTGAGGCCTTCACCTCATTCCAAGACTTTAATCTCTTATCTCGTCCATGATGGATCTTCTCTCGACCTCTTCTTCTTCCTTAGGGATTCCACTCTAGGGCAATCTTTGCAATACTGTAATTATTTTTTCTGAGTGTGTGACCAATCCAACCCCACTTTCTACACTTTATTTGGTTCTACCCTTTTTTGTTCGGTCAGGTGTAGTAGATCTTCGTTTCTGATGGTATTAGGACAGAAAATACCAACAATTTGTCATAGATATTTATTAATAAAGACCTGCAGTTTATCAGTAAGAGTCTTTGTTACTTTCCAGGTTTTCACAGTATACTCGCCAGATCACTTAACACGGTTTAGCATTCTGAATGCTTATTGAGATTTTCGTATCCTCATACGGATATCGTCCTTTGTACCTCCGCTTTCTTGTATGACTGTATGCGCATCTAAGATACGCAAAGTTTTCCACATTTTTATTCTGCATGTTGTTAATAGTAACTAGCGTGTTGTTTCTTGCATTTACTCTCATGGATTTGGATTTAATAATATTGATTTTCAAACCTTCTTTATTGGCTTCAGTGAAAAGTGTTTCCTATTAATCAGCCACATCTTGAAACTTTTATCCTAACAGGCAGATACCTTCGGCGTATTCCAGATCGCTTAGGCGTGTGGTTAACGTCCATTGTATCCCTCTTGTGTCGAAGTCTAGTTTAGAGAGAACATAGTCTACTGCTATGTTAAAAAAAACGGAGAAAGCACGCATCCATGACTTCAGTAAGTATATCAAATTTGTCGCTGTTGATTCCATTGTGTGTCACGCTGCATTTCGCCTCAATGTACTTTATAATAGAAATTACTATATGCGGGATGTTTCTTAGTTCTAACATTTTCCATAAAGCAGCGTGGGATAAGCTATCAAAGGCACGCTCGAAGTCAACAAAAACCATGTATAGGGGTGTGTTCCATTTTTACCCTCATAGTATTTATGTGGTCTATACGGGGGGATTTTGGTCTAAAGCCTGCTTAACCAGCTCGAAATTTAATCTTGTTTGTTAATCTTTTAAGTATGATGGTCGTGAAGATTTTAGTCCTTGCGCTAAGCAAGGTTATTACTCTCCAATTTTTGCACAGTGTGAGGTTGCCCTTTTTTGGAAGCTTAATAATGTTACGCCTTTTCCAGCCCGCTGGCATGCGGTTTGTTTTTCACACTCCTAGGATTATGAGGAGCAAAAATTCAGCAATTTAATGCAAATCAATTTGAAGTATTTTTGCTGCAATATTATCGATTCCCGGGGACTTGTTATTTCTCAGATATTTGATAGCTGTCATTATATCCGTTTTGGAAGGGGCCACGCAAGAAATACGAAGGTCTACATTCTGCGGGTTTTCGACAATTTCATCTGCGTTTTTCCAGGATGTACCTAGTAAGTCATCAGTAAGTAGAGCTCTTAAAAAAATAAAAAGTAAAATAAGCATTAGTAAGGTTATTGCAATATCCATACTTAGCAAACAGGAAAAGCAGAACAAAATAACACAAATGATCATTATCATTTTACCTAAAAATTCTGCTTTATATAGTACATTTCATAAATTGCGATAATTTTGGATAAGGGATGAAAGTTTTGACTTTATTGTCCGTTGTGCTGAGAAAGTTAATAGGAAATTCTTCCAATATTAAAGCACTGCCGAAGACAAGGAAAAATACGTTTTTAACTGATAATGTGTTTTACATCCATTTAGAAAAATAGGCAATTATTACTGCATTAATAGAGGAAAAATACACAAATATTGGTTCTAAATTGTATTGCTGAGTATTACCTGATAAAATAATACCAATAATATTTAAAATTTTTCTTTAAAATAAAACAATGTGTTCCACCCACATGCAATATAATACGCCTTTTTCTCTCAGTATCAGTAGTTTTATGGATTTTATACTGTCGTCCTGCTAAAACCATTTTAATCCATCTTTAACAAAAATCCACGTTTCGTCTAAAAAAAAAAAAAACACGAAGTGTGTTCTTTTTTTTTAATTATTATAGTTCTTTAAAAACTCGATGCTTTTGTGAACGACACTAGCTTTTTCATACAAAGCTTTTCTACTGTCTTCTATTTCAAACCTAAACGCAATCTGTTAGAAAACTCTCCAGAGACTTACCGTCGAAATTAACTATGGTAATTTCGACGAAATTGTAATCCTATTAATTGACATTGAACTGATTTTAATGTTCATCAAAAAAGGTAAAACTGTTAGAAAATCAAACATTTCCTGGTAAAATTGCAGTGCACATGAATTATATTAAAAATATTGACTGTAAATATCTTCCTCTTAATACTGTAAAAAAATATTTATTAAAATAGGTTTTTTTAAATTTAATTGAGAAATTACTTGTTTTATGTTTTCATTACTAAAACAGTCTAACTTCGTAAAATATACTCTACGTTATTTATTAATTAATTAAAAACTTACCTATTAAATTTATCAGCTAATAAACCCATAATAACTCCAACAACTGTGAAAACAGCTATAAAACTTGGTCCAGCCAATATCTGGTAGTCCAAACCTAGCCCATTATAAGTCCATTCGCAGTATCTAAAAATGCAATACTTTTTGTAAAAAAGAATTCAAACAAATTGTACAAAAACTTTCTTTAATTATATGGAATAACTGATAAGTATTATAGAAGTTAAACAACTTAAACAAATTCTATACGATTGTTAAAAAAATAGTTGAAAGAATGAATAGAGGAAAGAATAGAATGGCTATACTAAACACACTAACCAAAACCTAATAATACTGATGATGGTACCACATCCACGTTGATATCGCTTATGACTTTTCTTTGTTTTTCTTTAGTGTGTGTAATTCGAAATAATATTTTCTTCTTATTGATTTGTGACTGTTCTTTTACATTTTGTTTAAATTAAACAAAACTTTAAAGTCACGTGAAAAAAGATTAGATATGTCGAAATAAACAGAAAAATCACAACATTAAAAAAATTATCCATAAAAAGTATATTATGAAATATTTAACAAAATCTTCAATTGAATAAATCTTTTTAAACTATATTTTGCCTCGGAAAAGCTAAGAAACACAGTAATAGGTAATAGTAAGTAATAATAATGCCATAATAATAATGTCAGAATCAGCATTATACCCACAATTTACTGGCCAATGGCTTTGAACGGATGAGCTGGTAAGGGCACTCTATCGTTCTGACACTAAGAAATCGTCGTTGTGCGGGTAAAATCTGCTATGTACATTTTTTGGTGAAATTGAGTTATGAGCACAGAAATTCTCAAACTTTAATTCTTATCGCATTGGTATAATCTGCTATAGGCTATGGATAGAATTATCCAAGTTACAAGCTTTTGGTTAAAACCTGCTATGTGTTAAGGTGATGTAAAATCTGCTATGTGCTAAAATTGCATATTACCGAAATTGCTCTTTGTAAAAGTTGAGCGATTTTGTGTACTTATTTAACATATTTTAACTTTATTAAATTCTCCGGTGTAACTATTTTTTAGTCACTTTTATATTAAAAATACATTCTTTTGTGTTAATTTTATTATGAATTTGAGTATGTACTTGTTACACGCAATGCAGTATTATAAGCGTGATTTATAAACTTTTCGCTGCCGTTCGTAGTTGCTGTTCCCGTTCGCAGTTGGCGTTGGATTGGAATAGTCCATTTATACACTCTAAACTTGGCTTCGAGAAAAATAAAGAAGGAAAGATAACACACGAAGTAGAAGGACAAGAGAGAGGTGTACTGCCAAGATGTAAACATGACGATGTCCAACAGAAAAAAAAGAACTTATGTATGTGCTCAAATAAGAGATGACGAAAGAAAACAGATTAACATTATGTTGTGGAATTTAACAAGTTGACAACCATATGTAACACTTATGATTTTATGTAATCTGGAAGGTCATAAATATATAAAACCAAAGTCTGGCAACGCCTAAATTGTTTCAATAAATTTTTTAGTACTAACTATTTTCAAATACATTAAAACGTAACAATTGATAGTTTAGAACATTTTTTAATATAGTAGTTACGTTATTAAGTGTTCAAAATGTGCTCAATTTGTGAGTTGACAGCACTCTAATCGATGGTAGAAGGCGTCTACCACATTTCTCCATGATTGTCTAGAAATTATTCGAGATTCATTGATAATTCGTTGCCTTAGCTCTGCAAGACTTGCTGATTAAGTTTTGTAAACTGAATTTTTCAAGTATCCCTAATAAAAATAATCATTAGGATTGAAATCGGGTGAACCTGGAGGCCATTCAATTCTACTTTGTCTACCAATTTATCGTCCAGGAAATATCTCATCTAAATATCGCCGAACATTTACACCAACTATCTGACGTTAAATTTCTTTTGACAAAAAATGACCCAATTGAATAAGTAACTACTATATCTGACCATACATTTAATTTTTGAGGTCTTTGAGTACCTATGGTTTTCAAGCATTCAGTCTTCAGTGTGAATTTACGTCACACCAGTACCTTAAATTGTGTCGATTTACACTTCCACACAGTATGAGGCTTGCCGAGATCAGTGAGGGCCTTATAATAAACGGTGAGCCACTTAATAACATAAGATATGCTGACGACACCGTCCTTTTGGCAGGAACACTAGAAGAACTGCAACACCTTGCTGAACAACTAAATATATATTGCAACGATTATGGACTAAAAATCAATTTGAAGAAAACCAAGTTCATGGTATTTACAAAAGCACAAAACATCAAAGTTAAGCTAGTACTAGATAATACAGAAATTGAACAAATATCTTCGTACAAATACCTTGGAGCATGGATCACAGAAGATACTGATCAGACAAAAGAAATAAGATGCCGCATTGAAATTGCGCGGTCAACTTTTAATAGAATGAGAAAACTTTTTTGTAATCGCGATATCAATATATCGCTCCGGATAAGAATGCTTCGATGTTATATTTTCTCTACCCTTTTGTATGGAGTTGAAGCTTGGACACTTAAAAAATCCAACATTAAAAACCTAGAAGCATTCGAAATGTGGTGTTACCGACGCATTTTGAAAATATCATAGATGGATCGCAAAACAATGAACAAGTTCTCGAACAACTAGGAAAACAATGCGAAGTTTTAAATTCCATAAAGATCAGGAAATTGGAATACTTGGGGCACATCATGAGAGGTGAAAAGTACGAACTACTAAGGAATATAATGCAGGGTAAAATCAAAGGTAGAAGAAGCGTAGGAAGACGTAAAATCTCGTGGCTACGCAATCTCCGTGAGTGGTTTGGATGCAGTTCAATTGAACTATTCAGGCGAGTAACCAATAAAATTATAATTGCCAGAATGATTTCCAATCTCCGATAGGAGTGGAACTTGAAGAAGAAGACAGTGTAAAAGTTGTTTCATCGGAAAAACATATTCTGTTAACGACATTTTAATAATTTTCAATTTTATCCATTATTACCTCAGTAAACTCTAATCTACGACCAAAGTCATCTTCACTTAATTCTTGCAATAAGTTAATTTTGTATGATTTAAATTTATTTTTACGTAATAAACGTAAGACTGAAGAATGACCTACATCATGTAGTTGTGCAACCCTGCCTGGGGATGTATGTGGATCTTCAACAAAACTTTGCTTATATCTGAGTTTTGTTGTCATTGATAACTCGTTTCGGTCAACCTGATCGGTATCTATCTTTTACTTCTCCAGATTCCTCAAATCGCCTTACAGTTTTTTTGTACCGTCGTCTTATGAATAGGAGAAAGGTTTAGAGAACGGCATTTTAGAGAAGCAATTTAAATTGCAGAACTTTTTGAACCACAACTACTGTCAATTTTAGTTAATAATTTAAATGGTGAACAAATGTCAAAATCACAGCATTCTCCATTTAAATATTTAAATTTATTAAAATCTACATATTTTGCACTGTTTTATGTATTTAAGATCTTTCAGACTACATAAAATCAAGTGAACATATGGTTGAACTCGTATTGAATAGCTGAACTCGTGTGAAATTCACACTGAATGCGTGAAAACCATACTCAAAGACCACAAAAATTAATTGTATGGTCAGTTATCGTAGGTACTTATTTAATTGGGTCATTTTTTATCGAAAGAAATTTAACGCCAGATAGTTCGTGTAAATGTTCGGCGTTATTTAGATGAGATATTTCCCGGACGATAAATTGGTAGAGAAGGTAGAATTAAATGGCCTCCACGTTCACCCGATCTCAATCGTAAAGATTATTTTTATTAGAGATACTTGAAAAATTCAGTTTACAAAACTTAACCAGCAAGTCTTGCATAGCTAAGGCAACGAATTATCGATGAATCTCGAATAATTTCTAGACAATCATGGAGAAATGTGGTAGACGCATTCTACCATCGATTAAAGTGCTGTCAACTCACAAATGGAGCACATTTTGAACACTTAATAACGTAACTATTATGTTAAAAAATATTCTAAACTATCAATTGTTACGTTTTAATGTATTTGAAAATAGTAAGTATTAAAAAATGTATTGAAACAATTTAGGCGTTGCCAGACTTCTGTTTTATGTATTTAAGACCTTCCAGACTACATAAAATCATAAGTGTTACATATGGTTGAACTAGTATTTAATAGGAGTTTCCAATCATGACTGAATATACAGGGTGATGCATTTGAAAAACCAAAGTTACTAGTAATATAAGAGAAACTGAAAATCTGGCAACATTGCAAATACCAAATATGGAATCTGGCGTATCTCAAATTTTGTATAATTATGTCTAGTAATTTACGAGATAATTAGCCGTTTCCAGACTTTTGGGCCACTCTGTATATATATATATATATATATATATATATATATATATATATATATATATATATATATATATATATATATATATATTGTTTATCGACTTTTAATGGGTTACAAAATGCATAAATACATAAAAAATTACTTAGTTACTACTTTAACATCTTCGTACAATTTTACCTTCACCTTGGTAAACTGATATCAGCAATTTATTGTGTATTAGTAAATTTTGTTACGAAAATATATATAATTGCGGGTATTCTATCGTAATAAGCCAGGTAAATACGCGATAGGTTAAATAATAGACCTGCATAAAGGAAAATACTAGATATTAAACAATTACCCAATATAAAGTTACCGGTGTGGGACAACATATTTCTTTCTAGTAGGTCATGGTTACTATATTTATAAACAACGTCGGATATTAAATAACAAAGCGTTTGGATTCATAATTACTTCCAGGTCTACTAAATATATATAATATATTAAAGCAGTTAGCTTTAGCAGTTAGCTTTATATCTGCTTAATTCAAGACAACAGAGTTATTATATTGAAGTAAGTATTGAATATCGGTAAGATGTTGTGAAAACTTAAAACGGGGAATTCGTTGAACATAGACTAAAAATAATTACCGAAACAACAAAAGTAACTTTTGTTTACTCGAAAAAAAAAATTGTTTTTATTCCCTATTACTGTAGGGAGTCAGAGTGGCCTTTAGAAGTAAAAACGCGTGAGAGGGCTAAGAGTCATTTAAAAGTGAGTTTTCCGAAGAATTAATCA